GTGGCAGAGGTGACAGAAACAGGTGTGCTGCTGGCTGTAGTGGTGGCAGAGGTGACAGAAACAGGTGTGCTGCTGGCTTTAGTGGTGGCAGAGGTGACAGAAACAGGTGTGCTGCTGGCTTTAGTGGTGGCAGAGGTGACAGAAACAGGTGTGCTGCTGGCTTTAGTGGTGGCAGAGGTGACAGAAACAGGTGTGCTGGTGGCTTTAGTGGTGGCAGAGGTGACAGAAAGAGGTGTGCTGGTGCCTGTAGTGGGGGTAGTGGTGACAGAAACAGATGTGCTGGTGGCTGTTGTGGTGGCAGAGGTGACAGAAACAGGTGTGCTGGTGGCAGATAAAGTTGAACTGAGATCTGCTGTGGCTGCATCTGTGGACGTAATAAAAATGTGTTTCACTGGCAGTTTATATACAGTCTGACTTCAGTTGGAAATCTACAGTTACATTTTATGGGCAACTCACCAGTCAAGAAGCACAGTAAAATTATCATTTTTATGGTTAGCCGGTTAGTCTTCTTTCTAGAAGACATTCTGAAGAAGAGAGAATGTAATTAATTAAGTAATAACTACATAAGCATAACTGTACATGCAGTCATAATATAATCCTAATCCTTGATATTCCAAGAAGTATAACTATAGGCAGAATCAGTATTGGGGGAAATGACATCTGTATTAAATAATTTAATAGTAACTGTTACAAGTCTACATAGCAAGCTGAAATGAAAAAGGAAAAGGTAAATTATTTTGATTGTGACATCAATAAAACCACTCTGTGGGATTTTCGCAAACTGGTTATGTGTTCAAATTAGAATCCATTGTGTTCCTCTCCTAAAACGCATAACAACAAATTTAAATTAATAACTATGTTCACCATTTATTTAAAGATTCATATGTTATACCTAGCATTATAAATTAATATTTAACACTTTTTTTATTATTTATTCAGCACAGTTCTGAAACTTTTGAATAAAGCACAATATTTTCCTAGTCTTACACCATAAACAAATAAAGTTTTGCAAGGAATTGCCTGATGAGCCATCAGTTAACAGAACTGAATTGTCATACTGTAGCTCACCTAACATAAAAATATTTTGGAAAAGTTGTTTATTAAGTTTTTTTTTCTTTATGTCACGACTGAGATTGCGGAAGCAGGAACAGGGAGACGAGGGATCAGAAAACGGGGGATTTATTAGAAGTCAATCCTAATGCAAGACAACGAAACACGTAATGTCAATGGCTAGACTGGGGAAACATACTTGAACGTGGACTGAAATACACAAGACTAATTCCAGGAAGCGTAGAACAGCTGGTAAACATAGGGATTCCACACAAGGTTAACGAGGGGGCGTGGCACACAGGAGGATCAGACGAGCCGGGCGTGGCAGTTTAAAAGGAAGTTTGCCTCTCATAATGCTCTCCTTGAAAAAAACTAGGTGTTTTTCAAAGACTTACAAACACATAGACGTGCTTATTACAGACCATAAGTAAATATTGTACGTTGCCTAACCACCAAGATTCTCTCAATTTTTCACAGCAAAGATAACATTGTCAGAAGCATTCCTCCCCGAAAATGATCAGGAATGCCGATTATTGCGTTGCTCGCATACCATGTACTCTATGTACATTTCACTTTTATCACTATTTAATTAGTCAATCATCCAAAAAATACTGAAAAAAATCTGGAAATGTACATCATAACCATGGCTAATTTATAGGGAAGTTTATATGGATAATATAATCTATATAAGTGTGATAAATATGAAAATGTATTTTTTTCTATTAATGTTCTATATAAGGATGAACTTCAACTAAACCTTTATGAAGCTAGCAATATTGTAGGTTTTTATGTATCTGATTAGTTTTGCAATATACATGGAATATATGTGTATATATGTGTGAAATGCCAGTAGAACACAGTTCACTTGTCATTACTAATGTTTTCTCAGTTGTGCTTCTCATTTTGAATTGATATACATAGGTAGTCTGAATGGCTGATTAATAGCACTACATACGTAATACCAGGTAGAAGCCCCAGTCTCACAAACCAGTTTTTACACACCATGGTTGTACCAAGCTGTTATTTTTTGCACCATTCTCTGAAAATTCCAGATACTGTGGTACAGGAAACACTGAGTGTAGCTGTTTCTGAGATGCTGGAACCACCATGCCTGGTACCAGAATTCACACCATGTTTAAAGTCACTTTAGATAATGCGTCTAACCATTCAAATGCTTAGTAATACAATAACCGAATCACATTACCCTGCCTACCCTGCTGTATGTATTTAGCTGTAGCCTCATGATTTAATGTTTGTAGAAGCAAAGTATTTGTGTTAATAAACAGGTTTTGCTAGTTTAGTGACTACAAACTGCATTTACAAACCCACAGTAACCTTTGAAGGCTTTATGTAATACTTTGATACCAGCTTATTTTCAGTTTTGAATCCAGTATTCCCTGTATTGTCATTGTTAGAATGTACTCTCTCAACATATTGAAGTAAAT